TAATTCAAAAGAATTAGTTCAGGCAAAAGTTAGGGAAAATAAAAATTGCAAAGAAAAGGACTGCAAAGAAAAGTCCTCAACAAAGAACAAATTGGTGACTACAAACACGAAGACATAAAGGTGGTTTCTACTCCGAAAGCCTCGTCGTTTCCTTGACCGTCACAAAATCCTTTTGAGAGATGAACACTCATGTTGAATTAACTGAACATAGGGTTGGAGAACATCATGAAGAAGGGGTGGGCACCAAATATTTTGAGCCTTAAAATCTTTTTTCTAAAAACCATGAACCAGACCACGTTACAACCTTCAAAAGTCCTAATTGAAGCAAGGTTATTTTGAAAGCATACTTCAATGAGATAGTGTTCCTGACTCCCATGAATGTTCTAAATAGTTATGTTGGTATCATATGTTTTTCCTATACAAAAATAAATGATGCTCTAATTCGCAAAGTTTGTGCGATATCTTTTCAAAATCTTCAAGACTTACATAACTGTTGCATTAGAATTTTCATTCTCATTGTAAACTCTTTCTAACTGCAAAACATTTTGTTTGATATCAAGGAAGCTCACATAAGCACCAGTGATGAGTTTTATTCTTTTAAGGCCTGAAACTATGTTGAGTAATTGGTGGATCACGTCAAGAAAAAAATCATATCCATGGGCATGTCACCTGAAGACCGTAAGCACGAACATGTTGCTTCTCCCAGTTAACGCTTTTCCCAACTTGTTTGCTCGTTTGGGGCAAAAGTTGAAGACTTTGTTGTGCCAACTACAGTCAATTCGGGGCAATCACGTCGAGATTTATTGAATCTCTCTGAGAGTTTGAAGACACCAGAGCATGGTGAATGCCAGGTCTTTTGTAAAATCCTCTTGAGACGATTTCTCCTCATCAACCATATAGCTCGGGGCATTTTAGAGGTGAAGCTATTCGCAAGAATCGTCGTGCATCACGCAGCTTATCAGCAGTAAACTTGGGGCATCCAAAATTAATCCCAGGGGCAATCCAGATTTGTCAAGATATGTTTTTCATACATTATCAGAGGGTGGTGTTCCCAGTATCTCCAGCTAAGCAAGACTTCTTTCCAGCTGAAACTTTGTTTGTGTTGTTATCCTTTCAATGGATTGTTTGCAATAGAAGACTGGACTTTGGGTTTTCTACCTGAAAATATCTCCCTCTCCAAAGAGATTTAAGCCTTGTAAAAGGACCTTGCCCCAATGATGGCCTGTGTTTTATCTCCAGTAATGTTCCCATCTTGTTGAGATTAGCTGAGTGTTGGGTTGTGCTATGATGTCTTATCATCTCCAGTTTATCTTGTCTATTTGTTTTGTCAGCACATACATGGCACTCATTTATTCATTCACACTTGCATCATGCACGCACAGTTGTATTTGTTGATGTCATTGAGTTCGTATACCTTGGTTATGTCTATTCAAATAGCGTATTTGATCTTTCCAAGTAGAGTGCCAACTTAAGAAGAAAGTGCGTCTTCTTTCTTATTCCCCACTGAGTTAACTCTCGTGGAAGAATCTTGCTTTAGCTTTCCTTTTCTATCTCTGGATAGGATAAATCCCCATTTAAGTTGTTTCCTCATTGGGTGGAGTCTTGTTTGACTGTTTTTCTCTCCAGTTTATTCCTGGATTGAGCTTTGTCTCTTGTGAACGATACCCTGTGGATCTCTCTAGGCTGTGAAACCTAGATGGAGAGTGCATTTATTTTACAATGTAAATACTTGGTCTCCTCAAGAAGGATTTATTCATGGTTCCCCATTGAAGATGAACTTTATTCCCCAGCAGTGTTATCACAACCTTCTTCTGGAATATCGACATGACAACAAGCGACTGACTCTTTATTTGAGCAGTTTGATTATTTCTGCTTTCTCTACGACAAATGGCGGTCTCTTCATGAGCAGTTTGTCCATCCTCGATGAAATTATTGGTTCTCACCTCCAGCAATATCTTCACGATATTTTATGGGTATCTTTTTGGGAAACAGCAAGCGGCGGTCTCTTCATGAGGCAACTTGTGTGTTATGGATACTCTTGACAAACAGCAAGCGGCGGTCTCTTCATGAGCAACTTGTGTGTTATGGATACTCTTGACAAACAGCAAGCGGCGGTCTCTTTATGAGCAACTTGTGTGTTATGGATACTCTTGACAAACAGCAAGCGGCGGTCTCTTCATGAGCAACTTGTGTGTTATGGATACTCTTGACAAACATCAAGCGGCGGTCTCTTCATGAGCAACTTGTATGTTATTGATACCTTGAAAGAAACAGCAAGCGACAGTCTCTTCATGGACAACTTGTATGTTATCAACACTTTTAAAAACAGCAAGCGGCAGTCTCTTCATGGACAACTTGTATGTTATCAACACTTCTTTTGAAAACGGCAAGTGGCAGCTTCTTCATGAGCAGCTTGTACGTTAGTATTTTTGGAAGACAACAAGTGGCAGCTTATCTATTTGAGCAACTTGTGTGTTATTGTTCCCTTGAAGACAACAAGTGGCAGCTTCTTTATGAGCAGCTTGTGGGTTATTGGCAACAAGTGGCAGACTCTTCATGAGCAGCTTGTGTGTTTTGATATTCTTTGAAGACAGCAAGTGGCAGACTCTTCATGAGCAGCTTGTGTGTTTTGATATTCTTTGAAGACAGCAAGTGGCAGCTTCTTATGAGCAGCTTGTGGGTTTTGGCAACAAGTGGCGGACTCTTCATGAGCAGCTTGTGTGCTTTAATATTCTTTGAAGACAGCAAGTGGCAGTCTCTTCATGAGCAGCTTGTGTGCTTTAATATTCTTTGAAGACAGCAAGTGGCGGTCTCTTCGTGAGCAGCTTGTGTGCTTTAATATTCTTTGAAGACAGCAAGTGGCGGTCTCTTCATGAGCAGCTTGTATGTTATTGACACCTTTGAAAGGAAGCAAGTGGCGGCCTCTTTATGTGAGTAGCTTGTGTATCCCCAACAATAATGTTTACTCAGCAAATGACATCCCTTCGGAAAAGTCCCATGGGGAAGTTTATTATTTTATCGTTTTCAAGCGATATCTTGGTTAGAGAAGAAATGTGTTACCGTTCTTGGTAAAATTCAGAAATCAGAGATGTTTATCTCCAGCCACAGTGCTGATGTCAATCATTTTGTTTTCCAGCCACAATGCTGATGTCAATCATTTTGTTTTCTAGCCACAGTGCTGATGTCAATCATTTTGTTTTCTAGCTACAGTGCTAATGTCAATCATTTTGTTTTCCAGCCACAGTGCTGATGTCAATCATTTTGTTTTCCAGCCACAGTGCTGATGTCAATCATTCTCCAGTCTCAGTACTGATGTCCATCATTCCCTTTTCCAGCCACAGTGCTGATGTAAATCATTTCTTTTGCCAGTCTTCGTACTGATGTAAATCATTTCTTTTCCAGTCTCAACACTGATGTAAATCATTCAAGAGTCTCTCATTTGAAGTCTATGACTTTGTTTCCCCAGTGAAGTTACAACCTCTTCCTCTGTGGGATTACTGTATAATGTGCTTGGTTTCTCCAGCATAGTCTGTCTCATATGGCGTCATTCCCCATAAAATCCAGAGCATTACATTCATATCATATCATGAACATAATCGCGGTATCTTAAGGCCAAAAATTGTGTATTCTATATTTAAGTCCCTTCAATCTCGTCGAAATGAAGATCCCAATCTTCATATCTCCACATAGAAGAAACTTAAATAGGGGCAGCTGTTGTACCCCAACTTTTGACCTAAGATCCCATTTTTATTTTTGCATTTTTAAAGATAAGTCAAGGTCACGAAATACGGTCGGTTTTAACCTCTCACCTTCGAGATTTGACTATGCGAAGATTGTCAAGTGTTTTGAACATTTTTAGCATATGTACCACTAATTTCTAATCACATACAAAGGTGTATGTTCGTGTTTTCTTTTGTGTCATGTGCAGAGACAGGTCTGAATCAAGAGCATCAGGTGTCGCGCCTCAATTAAAGTTTTGAGTCTCTCAAGCCAGAAGTACGGTTGATTGTGGATTCTCGAAGACTGATTCATCAAGGCACACCGTTGCACCCTTAATTTCGCCCCTAATTTTTTCAGTCGCACATTCATACCATATTTTGTCATTTGGTCACAATTATTAGTAAATATTTTCATTCATCACATTTTGCATCATTAGTCGTATTTAAGTTGACCAGAAAAGTCAGTTTAAATCAAAGTTTGCATCGTCTTTTAGTTGTAAAATACCCGACATTTCACTTCATTCATTTTTATCTGTTTACTATTTTCTTCCATTGCTCCAAGTTGTTTATATGTTGATAATAAAATATTTCGGTTTTATAGACAGACTGTTAAAAGCGATTCGACACTATGCGGGAAATTAGCGAGAAAATATTTCAAGTTTTCACCTTTTACCGTTCATTTTATGAATCTACGCTTCGCGTAGATTGTAACGGTATGTTCGCTTTATTTTTTCGGTACAGTTCGAAGTCTCGTTTTTAACCGTAAACGCCTGTTTAGCCTGATATTTTAATCATCATTTTATTTCGATTTTGATCATTTTAATATTTTTTTTCATTTATCTTTGAGACGTGTAGTTTATTTTAATGTGTTCATTTTATTTTTTCGGATAGATTTTTGTCCATTTTTTACCGTTTTTAGTCATCTTGGGTCTCTATTTTTTATATTCAAAAATAAATATAATTTTTTTTTTAAATTGAGTTAATTTTATACTTTTAGGTTTTTAAGTTATTTTTATCATTAAAGGGCTTTTCTGTCATAAAAAATGTTTGTTACCCTTTGCTTTGCTCTCATTGGTTGTAAGCAAGAATTGAGGATCGATACAAAAACCAAACATAGTTTATAGTTTATATACATAGTTTTCTTAAACTCAGTTTGGGGGGGGGAACAAAAAACGCAGAGAATGACACAAACTCAATTTCCTTTTTCTTCCTCACACCATCTCTCTCTCACACACTTTTTTCTCTCTCTCTTTCTCATTTCACATTTCACATTCCCAAAGGATGGGAAACTGGAAGAAAATACAGATTCCTGGTTCAAGTGGGAATCAGTTTTACGCTCCTGGTCCGAATCCATCTGTGTTTGGAAGAAATTTGACGAAAGATCAACTTGGTGGTGTTATATTTGGTTGCAAGAATGCTACCATCAAAGAATGCTTAACCAAACAACTCTTTGGATTACCGGCTGCGCATTTCTCTTACGTGAAGCATATTCAACCTGGGTTGCCTCTGTTTTTGTTTAACTATACTGATAGGATGCTTCATGGAGTTTTCGAGGCGGCTGGTAATGGAAGAATGAATATAGATCGTTATGGATGGACCGGTGACGGCAAAGAAATGACACAGTTTCCTGCTCAGGTGCAAATCCGAGTTCAATTGCATTGCCGGCCACTGTCTGAAGATAAATTTAGACATGCAATTGCTGATAACTACTACCATCATAACCATTTCTGGTTTGAGCTGGATCATGGACAAACAACTCAGTTGATTGCCTTACTTCAACCCCAGCCTCAACCCACAACATCGTGGCCTCACCCACGGCAACCTCCATCTCCGACAACCACCGTGCCGCTGCAACCAACACTCTTCCATCGCTGCTGTTTCATTTTTGTTCTCTTGTTTGTAACATTGTTTGATTTTAATCTTGGCCTTGCAGATTAAGGAATAAATTGAAACATAAATGGGATTGAGATGGAGAAGAAACTGATTGAAGAGGGAACAAGGAAGCAATTTTCACGAGTGAGAGAAATGAGGGCCATGGAAGCTTTCTCTGTTTTTTTGTTGTTTAGATGAAAGAGAAGCAGAGATGGGGGAAAGGTTTAGGTGACTTTGTGGCAACTTTAACCCATTTTTCTCTCATTTACCATTTCTTTATTTAAATATCATTTGTTTAATTATTGTTCTTAGCAATAATTAAAATAATTTGCACTAAAGTTATGATGAATTTTCCGCCAGCTATCACCCTCCGTTTCCGCGTAAGTTTCTGCACATACTACTCAATCATGTAGTGGCTCTGTTTCTTTTATTCTTTTTTAATTTAGTTATCATTTTTGTATATTCACTCTTTTAATTTAGTTTTATTGTTTATTTTTTTATATTCAAAAGTTTATCCAAAAATAAATAAAAAGTTAAGACATTAGATTTTAAATTTAGAAGTAATAATGTTTATCTTTTGTTTTTTAGATTACTTTAGTACATTATGTAATGTGTAATTAATTTGTTGGTTTGTAAATAAATTCAATTTGTGATTTAATTTTCTTATTGTTTTATTTAATAGAAACTTTTGAGTTTTAGATTTAGTTAGAATTTTATCTTGTAAATAAATTTAAGTTGTGTTGTCTATTTTATATCATTTCATTGTGATTTCACATTTTGAACTCGATTTAATTTTCGAATCTATAATGGATGCATAAACTTCATTGACCAGTTTATTTTATGGATTTCGATTTGACGCATTCCGGTCCCATAGCTTGATTCTTTATTTCACATGAGATGTTCATATTATTTCTCTGTTACCCTGTTTATCTGTTTGTTGGAGTTTTTCATGTGATGTAGGGAATCTTATACCGTGAGCGTCATCCATGATTTCTTTTTTCCGTGATTTATTTTCACGCGTTGCACTTCTCGCTTGTGGTTCATTGCGCTTTATTCGCTGCTGGGAGTATTATCTTACATCTGGTTTTTTTTGACACTGTCGGCTCGTGATTTATTTTCACCTGAGGTTTGATATACTCTTAGCTTATTTATCTGTCTGTGGTTTTAAATCCAAGGGAAAGTATTAATTTGTTAACTTCATGTCATCAAATATCTAATACGATCAAGCGAACACCCTCATTCATTTTTTTTCTATTTACTATTTTTTTTCCCCAAAATTAAGTCGATTTTCCCAAAAGACTCCATTTTCAAACTCATACCTTTTAAGTCAAAACTTTGACACTAGGTCGTCGTATCTTCAAAATCTCATCCATACCCATTTTGATCAAACAAACAATTTTAACCAAAAAACAGATATTTCAAAAGGTTCCTACGGAGTACCGCAGATGCATTGGGTGCTAATACCTTCCCATTGTATAACCAACCCCCGAACTCTCGATCTCTTTTCAAAACGCCTTATATTTTCATTACTTTTAAAAGTATTATTTTACATTGCATATTTTAGGGTTTTATTTCGCTCTTTTCCCTTTTCCCTTGGAAATAATAAAGCGCGGTGGCGACTCTTGCTTTTGTGAGTCAAGTTAATTAATAGCTTGATCTCCGATTTTCACCGCTAAAGATACATCATGAGATAGAGGTTTACGTAGACGACATGATAGCCCGTTCACAAACTGAAGAAGAACACCTCGACCATCTGCAAAAGCTATTTGTCAGGTTGAAAGAGTACAAGCTCAGACTGAACCCTAACAAGTGCACTTTCGGAGTCAGGTCCGGTAAACTCTTGGGTTTCATAGTCAGCAACAAAGGCTTCGAGGTTGATCCTTCCAAAGTTAAAGCTATACAAGAAATGCCTGCCCCTCGCACTGAAAAGGAGGTTAGAGGTTTCTTGGGACGCCTAAACTACATTGCAAGGTTCATTTCTCACCTGACATCTACCTGTGAACCAATCTTCAAGTTGTTGAAGAAAGATCAGGTGGTTAAATGGAACGATGACTGTCAAGTTGCTTTCGATAGAATCAAGGAGTATTTGTTAGAGCCTCCTATCTTGATGCCTCCCGTCGAAGGAAGACCTCTAATTATGTATCTGACTATCCTAGAGAATTCAATGGGGTGCGTATTGGGCCAACATGATGAGTCTGGCCGAAAAGAGCATGCCATTTATTACCTTAGCAAAAAGTTTACCGACTGTGAGACTCGCTACTCACTGCTCGAGAAAACTTGTTGCGGTTTGGTATGGGCTGCTCGCCGGCTAAGGCAGTATATGTTGACTCATACCACTTTGCTGATCTCTAAGATGGATCCGATCAAGTACATCTTTAAATAGCCTGTTTTATCTGGAAGAATCGCTAGATGGCAGATGATCCTCATAGAGTATGATATACAGTACACGACCCAAAAATATATAAAGGGGAGTGTGCTAGCCGATCATCTGGCCCATCAAGCTGTTGAAGATTACCAATCCATGAGGTTCGACTTCCCCGACGAGGATATCATGACTTTGAGCAACATTGAAGAAAACAAACCGTATGACGGACCTGAACAAGGATCCCGATGGACGTTGTACTTTGATGGTACCTCCAACACACTTGGCAACGGTATTGGCGCTGTACTTATTTCTCCAGAAGGTTTCCATACACCTTTCATCGCCAGACTCTGCTTCAGCTGCACCAACAACATGGTCAAATATGAAGCTTGCATCTTTGGTCTCAAGGCTGCTATTGACTTGGGAATCAAATCTTTGATTGTATTTGGGGACTCCGCTTTGGTTATCAGTCAAATCAAAGGAGAGTGGGATACTAAACATCCTAACCTCATCCCTTACAAAGAACATGTCCTGACATTGTTACCACATTTCGAGCAGATCACCTTCGAGCATTTCCCGCGAGAAGAGAATCAGCTAGCAGATGCGCTAGCTATAATGTCCTCCATGTTTAAACTTAACTGGGATAATGAGGCTCCCCAAATACCATTGAACGGATGGACGAACCTGCACATTGTCACGAGATTAATATCGAAGAAGTAGTGGACCGACTGTGGTTTCATGACATCAAAAGGTATCTCGAAGCACAAGAATACCCTGAAGGAGCTTCAGTCAACGACAAAAAGTTATTAAGGAGGTTTTCGGCAAAGTTCTTCTTGAGCAATGGTATTCTATACAAGCGCAATCACAATTGCATTTTGCTCCGCTGTGTGGACAAGGTTGAAGCTGAACAGATTATGGCTGAACTACACAATGGTACCTTTGGCGCCCATTCTAACAGACATACGATGGCTAAGAAGATTCTACGGGCAGGCTATTAGTAGTCTACCATGGAAGCTGACTGCCATCAACATTCCCGTACATGCCATAAATGTCAAATCTATGCGGATAAGGTACACATACCTCTAGTTCCTCTCAATGTCTTAACAGCTCCATGGCCGTTGGCTATGTGGGGAATCGACATAATTGGAGAGATCAAGCCTACAACATTCAATGGACACCGCTTCATCCTGGTGGCCATTGATTACTTTACCAAGTGGGTCAAGCAGCTTCTTTCTCCTCTGTTACAAAGAATGTGGTTGCCCGCTTCATCAAGCAGAACCTTATTTTCCGGTATGGTATCCCCGAAAGGATTATCACTGACAATGGTACGAACCTGAACAACACTATGATCACCGCTTTGTGCGAGCAATTCCAGATTCAACATCACAATTCATCTTCCTATCGGCCAAAGATGAACGGTGTTGTTGAAGCTGCTAATAAAAATATCAAGAAGATCATTCAAAAGATGACAGTCACCTACAAGGACTGGCATGAGATGTTACCGTTTGCTCTGCACGGGTACCGTACCACGGCACGAACATCAACTAGGGCAACACCCTATTCTTTGGTATACGGCATGGAAGTTGTTTTACCTATCGAGGTTCAGATTCCCTCCTTGAGAATCATGAAAGATGTTGGTTTGAGTGAAGACAATTGGATTCAGACCCAGCTTGATCAACTTAACTTAATTGATGAAAAGCGACTTACTGCTGTTTTCCATGGTCAGGCGTATCAGAAACGAATGATCAAGGTATTCAACAAGAAAGTCAGGCGCCAGGTATATCAAGTCGGGGATCTTGTAAACAAGAGGATCATCTTTCCGCAAAGTGATCCCAGGGGCAAGTGGACTCCTACTTACGAAGGACCACTTGTGATCAAAAACATCTTTTCTGGTGGGGCAATGATCTTAACCACCATAGACGGCGACGACCTGCCGCACCCTGCGAATGCAGACATAGTCAAAAGATACTACGCATAAATGACCCGACAAGTTGAAAACCCGAAAGGGCGACTTGGGCAAAAATGGGCATCCCGATGAATCGAAAACCCAAAAGGGCGGTTCAGGCAAAAATTAGGGATAAACAAAAAAAATCTGTACACCCGGCAAGTTGAAAACCCGAAAGGGCGACTTGGGAAAAAAAGGGTTTCCCGGTGGACTGAAAACCCAAAAGGGAGATCCAGGCAAAAGTTAGGGAATTAAAGCGTATGACTATGTCTCGTCGGATCACTTTAAGGACAATCTCTTCACCAGACAACCTCCTGGCTTCTGATCAACTCAATCATCTTCTAACGAAGCAGCAAATGGACAAGATATCTAGAGTTACGAAGGCTATAGCAGAATGGGAACCCCATGGAATTTTTACACATGGCCATCTTTCTTTGTATAAATTTTTCTCAATTTTTTATGACAACATTCTCTTACTAGGATGTTTGTCTCCTTTGTACAAAATACTTACACAAAGTTAATACAAAGATACTTCAAAGTGCAGAAAACTATTTGCCTTTTCTTCTTTTTACACTTGTGTTTTATTTGAAAACGTCCAATGGTTTATTAAATGAGCATATGCATTTGAATATAATCACCGTTTACAAATAAACGAAATGTGAAAGAACAATTACTGACAGGTTGAAAGTATGGGAAAACGTCTTTAGGCTATTCCGAGAGAAACCTCCTGCAGCACATCATCTAGGTCCCTAACGGAGC